CGACCCGTTGACTCGCTTGCAAGGTTCCAGAACGTACTCAATATAGCTTGTGAAATTCTCACCAAGCTGCTGGGACCGAGTATGCAAGCGCGCTTGTTCGGCACGGCGCTTGCGTACCTCAGACTATCCGAAAACTTGTGCGAGGCTCGTTTGGAAGACGGACCACGTAGGAAGATCCGCTTCGTGGTTTATGAACCACAGCTTGGCCACGTCCGACAGGTAGAAAGAAACGTAGGCCAACTTGGCGGCATCATCTCATTTGTTGCGAGCACTCACTCACTCGTACATAGAAATCCAGTCATCAACGTCCTTGTCTTCTGTGCCTGAGAAAACAGGGGGATCTCGCCGACGCAGAGAACCGGCGTAGAGGACAGTAGGCGGTGCCAGTGGAGGTGTTAGAGCGGCGCTTGCGTCGGTAGGAATAATGGACCGTAAACTGCGATTCCGAAGCTCCAGGATGATCAAAACCCAGAAGACTCCACCACTTGTAACGGGCTTTATTTTCAGTGCAGAACGCAGAAGGTGAAGCAGTCAGCAGCATCCTGCAAAGCGCAGCATGCACAAACTTATGTTGATGGCGATGCTCCTGAGGTGCAGAGAAATGCCGCTGAGGCCCCACTTCCTCACTACACCATGTATTTTCTAGTAAAGAAACGCTCCATCTAATACATGAGTGTTAATGTTGTACCTCAGATATGGGTATAGTTTGCTTTTTCATGGACAATGTTCACAACTATGAACGCAGCCACCAGATCAAGATGGCTGGGCGTTGATGAAGTGCTTAAACTTTGGCCGGGTGGCTTGAACTGCTTCAAGGTACCAACAGACAGACCTGCGTTGAAGTATCCCAATAAAGACTGTCGTCTTAAAGATTATACACAAGTAGTAAAACTGCAATGACAGCATTTGGGAGACGTTAGCCCCAGATGTAATGAATGATCAAGCATGAAAAGAATAAAAGAATGTGTTAATTAAAACTCACAGTAAAAAAGAAAAATATATAGTCAACAGACTTTAAGTAAGCCACGGAATATCTATGATACGTGTATTCCGTAGAAATGGCAAAAAGAAAATTAGGAGACCCTAAAGATTCGCCTTTAGGAGTGGCACACGATAGCGATATCCTGTTCGTAGCAGTGCGTAGCACTAAGTGCATGAAACCTTTTGGAATTTTCTATGCACCCGCTACGTGGCCTTAAGGAAACCGGCGCCGTAGCTTGTGTGCTTATTGTAGGGGGCAACCTGGCTTTAAACCCCAAAGCTATTATGGAGGAGAGAGGAAGAAAGAAGTAAGCGGAAAGACGGGGAAGGTTAGCCAGTAGCAAGTTTTTAGACCAGGCTGGCTACACTGTTCTGGGAAAGGGGAATAAAAGATGATAAAAAAAAGAGATGTTACAAAGAGAGAGTGTGAGAAAGGCAATAGATAGAAAAAGAAGAAAAGCAAAATTAAAGAGTATACGATACTAATGTATGTCTGTAAATCCAGTTGTCCGCAAAAAGTTTAATATAGCTTTCAAAGCCTTCTGGGATGAGGATGAACTCGGCCAATGACCCAGAAAAATTGTTTGTTCCAACAAAGAGGGAGAGAGAAAACTCTGCATTGAAAAGCAGATAATTTAGCCGGCACATATAAATAGCTGACTCGGCGATCATCTACTTTATCTAGCGCTTCGGTAAGTTCTTGTCTTAGCGCGTTCAAATGGGTACACTCGCACAGAAAATGGGCGATCATTTCTTCGCAGCTGCAGTATACTTGCACGTAGAGGTGCTGGCCATACCAATAAGAAAACAATGTGCGTTCTTGAAGGCTACGCCGACCCACAGGCGGCACAGAGGAGTCTCCTCAACTCTAGATATTCCTAAGGGAAGACGAAGCTTGAGATCGGGATCCAAGTTATGTATAGGCCAGCGTTTGTGAATTCAGTTGAGTTCCTCAGTATCAGTGTGAGGTCACGTGCAAGCGAACGAAGCCTTGCAGCTACGTCGGTTTTTGTGAACGGGATGGCTGAGTATTTTCTTACCATCATGTGCAGATCTAGTGGCCTCACCTGCGTGGTCGTTTCGAAGCCATTATGGTAATCGCACACTCTGACGCCCGCTGAATGGGGGCTTATACCGCGCAGTGTTACTGCAATATGTCATGTTGCATTGTGAAGCACGTATACAGGATGCGTGTTTGTGAAGCTTGACAGCTATTTCCACTGCATTTCCAAGCGGACGAAGTTTTTTCACTCTATTCAAAAGCGGATGCTTGACCGTTTGGTAGAACATCCGCTTGCCACGCCAAAGACCCGGGATCGATCTCTACTCTGACCCAAACGACCTTTGATCAGTCCGCCACTCTGGCCCACGATTATTGTATCTTTTATTTTATTTGCATTATTCGCGATTTTTCGGTCACGCATAAGATGACAATTTTTCGCTCACAGCCGATGATGCCGACGCCAAAACTTCTGCGAAATGAGCTCTTTAACGCCATCGCAACCATCTCGTAGATGGGCAACTCGTTTGCTCTCACCTTCCACTTGGACCAGCACTAGCTTACTCTCGTTGAATTGGCAGCTTGACCGATATGTCTAAATAGTAGTGTTCGCTTCGTTACCTCTGTTTCGAAAAAAACATTCAAGGCTGATATCTCTCATGACCGATACACTTGCTCATTTTGGTAGTTCATGATGAAATTTTCAGACATTTATTCCAGCGTAAAAGCTCAAGAAAGACCAGCTCTTTTTTCTCACATTATAATAAAGGCTAGAATTTTTTTACCGGCAAGCTGTCATAGATTATTCAAAGGTTGCTCACCATTGGTGAAGATTAATGGATTTGTGAGGTTTAACGTCCCAAAACCACCATATGATTATGAGAGATGCCATATTAGAAGGCTCCGAAGATTTCGACCACCTGGAGTTATTTAACCTGCACCCAAATCTAAGCACACGGGCCTACAACAGTTCCGTATCCATCGGTAATGCAGCCGCCGCAGCAGGGATTCAATCTCGCGACCTGCGGGTCAGCAGCCGGGTATTTTAGCCACTAGACCACCACGGCGGGAAAGGTTGCTCACCAAGCTCGGCAATGAAATGAGGGGACCGGCTGGCACATTAAAAACGCAATTCATTCCACATTCTCCAACCATTCAACGTTTTTCTCGCCCACTTCCATTTTTCCCGCCAGTGTTCTCGCCCGCTTCCCATTTTTATCGCCAGTGTTCACGGCCACCCGTTCGCTTTTGGCGCGTAGACGAAGTTCTTCCTCTATATAATGGCTGTTGGTCCAAAACCAAGGGTGCCTTTTTTGCGGAACTATACGACGCGCACAAGTGCGCGGCGATATAAATAATGCCATCAGCACTGGCCGTTCCATAAAACAGGGATCATCCCTCTTTCTCTCTGTATTTTGTTTTAAATACTATACGCGCTTGACCTCCGGTAGAGTTAGTCCAATGGCCGCCAAGCTCATGTCCAGCGGAAAAGAGAAAAAGAGTCCGGTGACACGCAATACGCGGATCGTCCTCTTGCTTCGAAATTAATGGCGGAGCACTGGGATGAATCGAAACGGGCAGCGATGAAAAACGACGACTCATACGAAGGCAGAGGAAAGGCCAACTCATCGCTCCTCCTTTTTCTCCTTCTTCTTTTTTTAGAGTAGGACTGACGTTTCGTTATTGCCGCATTATTATTCCACTCGTGCCACAGCTCGTCGGATTGCTTCTGACGTCCGCATGACGACCACGAATGCTATAAGCCTGCGTGTTCAGACGGGGTGCTGTACTGGTTTGCCTGTTGGTATGCGCAGCGCTTCAAAGTTAACTTCGCGGTTCGGCTTTCGAGAGCTTACGCTGAAGTTGACTTCCTCTCGCATTTCGTTCTTTTTTTTTTTACTCGAATGAAAGTTAGATGCTCGTTCTAACTCTGGTAGGACTCTGTCCAGAAAGGGCAGATTCATGCCGTTTTTGTTGCCTGAAAACTTCTATGAACTAATCAAAGGGCTTGTGCTTTCTTTGTCTCCTGGTCGCGTTGTTATGGCATTACAGAGGCAGTGAAGTTTAATTTGAGTGCGCGATTCTTTTAAAAAGTTTTAGGGGCAAAGCTCATTACAGTGTGGGTCGTTCTCTCGCAGTAGTAGTATGTTGTGGTAGTGGCTTCTTCTAGTTAGTGTTAAGAATTGCCTTCTGGATGAAGTTGTGTGTATATTTCCTTGAAAATTATGTCACTAGACGGTGTCATTGGTTTGCATAAAAGAAAATCACAGCATATACACGGAGTGAATCATCATGAGTGGGGCCAAGCGTCCGTTCATCCATCCGTTCGACGCGTACTCTAGGGTAATAGGAGCGGATGGACGGACCAACCGAATGCCAGGCAGAGAGACAGACACCAGGCGGACGGACGGACGGACGGACGGACGGACGGACACTTTGCCTCACTCATCGTCATTTACTCCGTAGATTTGCTGGGAATTTTTTTTCTTTTTCGTGGATGGGGACACGTACTAGCAGCGCATTAGTTTTGAAGTTTACATTATGTTATGAGAAATGAACTGCTAAATGTAAGAAATGTCTCCAGGGTTGCCATCCTTTAAACTATTCGGGCCCCACTGCAAGCGACATACATTGCAAAAAAATGATATGCTGAAACTCTACTACCAAACTGGCACCTTCTTTAACGGCTGTCTGACGGCTTATAATTGTTTCATAAAAGGAACGACGGGATTTCTCCAAGACTGCAAAGTAGATAGACATCGCATCAGTTGTTATTCTGTATTACTGCAAAGTATTATTTCCGAGTGCTGTTTTGATCGTGCGCGTAGAATCGGTGCTGCCTAACCCATCCCGACTTCTTGAGTCTGGCATTGCATCGTACGCTAACAGCAGCAGCAACGTTTAGCGCATGCTGTCCGGTCACTGGTACAAAGTATTTCTGCCATTGATATAAATAAAGTCTAGTTTGAAGACTTAGAGTCTTTCAGCGACGTTTAATCTCTTGCTGGTTTGCTCACAGATACGGATTGGAATTCACTCGGGCCCTGCTATGGCTGGAGTCGTTGGTACACAAATGCCTCGCTACTGCCTCTTCGGCCACACGGTCACACTGGCAAACAAGGTGGAAAGTCACGGATTGCCCAAGCAGGTCACTATCACGGAGGAAACGAAACGGTGAGTATCGTTGATTTTCAAATACACAAACAACTGCTTTTCACGAAACATAATACTGAGCACTCGGTAAAAGTGACAGCGCTGTGCGCACATGAATGGAGTGTTCTATTCAAGTGACGGGTCAGCGCTTTCAGCTATAGGACGCAAGGGGCAAAATCTTCGCCGAACGAGGACGCTAAGATCCCTCTTGTGCTTTGAGATCGCTAGTTTTGTTGACCCTCATTGGGACAAACAAGAGTTCTTTGCCGGTAAAACGTAGGAATCTTTGCCCTGCGGGAGGCTGGAACGAATGACGTATGGTAATTATGCCTTAATCGTCGCTAAAGGTGATCAATGTAAACACTTGCATCTGTAACAGATACTTGCATCTCATGTTATAACACCTTGACGCCTCACACTTGGTGGCAAGAAACCTCTGTGACAGGTATCAAACAATCCCTGCCGCGTTCCTCATCCAATGTCTTTGTTTTTCGCAACAGGCATCTCAAAAAGGACGGTTATCTCTTCCTGGCCACGAAGCCTGTCACCGAGCTTCCGGTGCGCTGCTACAACGTGTCCCGGCCAGGAGACAATGTGGCGCCTGATCCTGCTACTCTAGGACCAGCCCTGTACGGAGGCGGTGGTCACTTCCGGTCGCCCACTGGGTCACCGGTGCACTCAGACAGAAACACGGGTTCTCGCAGCTCATCCACGCCATCTCCCGGCGGATCTCCACTCGTCGCTGGCGGAGACGCCATTAAGAACGCTGTAAGCACCCACAACCTTGACGCCACTTTCTTTAGACAGATTGCCCTTACCTGCGTGTATTTATCTGAAGCATTGCTCCTTCTTTTGAGTATTGTAGATAATGAGGGCTACTTGCGCACATACACTCCTAAAAAAAGTTGGTAAAAAGGTAGCAATTCCAAGCAAATAAGTAGTAACTGCAATGCTTACTACATTTCTTGGACCTTTACTACCCTTTTTCTACCTGTTTACTACGTACGTTAGTAAACAGTTTCTAGCTGCAACCGTTACTAACTTTTTGTGAACTGTTTACTACCTAGTTAGTAAACAGTTAGTAACTGCAATGAAAGAGTCAGTGACTGCAGCCGTTACTTGCTTTTTTGCTTCATTTTACCGTTTTGCTACCGGCTGTTGACTATCTAATACAAAATAGCGTGTGATATTGATTCTGATAATTTATGAGAGGAATCGTCTCTACGTATCTTAATTAAACGGAAAAATGACACAGGAGATATCCATGGATTAAAAAAAACACCGTTTTAAATTACGCAACCGAGATATGTAAACGTCTTTCTAATATTGGCGAAACGAAGAAGTACAAGTTAACGAATCATAAGCAGGTGCTACACGCGTTTTAAGAAACAATTACCACAAACTTAGTAAATTACAGCGAATTAACATGACCGGCAGATTAAAATAACCCGACGGTCACAATTATTCCGGAGGATGATCACAATTAATGCACTGTGGCGTGTCTCCAAGTAATATCATTGTTTTGGCACGTCAAACACCAAGAACGATATTACCTTTTAACCGCTGATATATTAGCCATGTGGAGCATTCAAATGCACTGAGGCTATGTTTACGACTATCATTTAAAGCGCACGAAAAACAGACCATGCATATCCAACCATAGTTATACCATGCATATCCCACCATAGTTATACCATGCATAGTTATACCATGCATATCCAACTAGCCCAACTTTCGATTCTGTTGCTATGTTTACGAGTTCGGTACCTTGTTTTGGCCACTGTACATAATTCCTTTTTGTGGCCTTTTACAATAAACAGATATGACACATATTTTTTATAAGTAAGACTGATTAAAACTCTTGTGGTACGTTTCAAACAAACGTAACAAGCTAATATGATGTAGTGCTCTAGATTCACATTTGCTTTAATTCTTCCTGAATCACAAGTAATTCCCTGTGCCAGATATGCATCTGCAAAATAGGGTCTATATACACCCCACGCTTACTTAATTCTGTACCGTAAAAAAATAGTGAACTTGTTAATTAGAAACCGCCGGACTTTTCCACTTACCTTTTACTGATAGAGCTTATCTTATGAAATCAAGCATAACAGCGACCCTGTTTTATGTAGCCAGAATTGCTCGACCGCCTTGTCGGGTGTTGCTGAGAGTGGCCACTGCGTGTGGCTCCTTTTTTTGAGATGGCAACACTGAAGCTGTTGCTACAGCCTTGGTTCGCCTACAAGTAAAATGGGGAGGGCTCAGTATATCAAACCTTGATGTAATGTGCCGAATGTTGGCTCTCAAAAACACCTGGGCACTCTCAGAAAACTCATCTAGAAACTCATCGTATCGAGGCAGGCAACTGCCTCGATACGATGTAGTGTATCTGCTAGGTGCCTCTAGAAGGTTTCTTGGCTTAAAAAACGAAAAGGGACCAGCTCCTGAACAGCCAACGCCGTATTACGCGCATGTGATAAAATCTTTGCAACGATGGCGAAATGATTCTCCAGTTCAAGAACTGATGGAAATGTCTCCCACCGACATGAGCGAACTAATAGCCTTTAAATGTCTAACTGAGGAACAGTGCCGGAAATGCCACGCGAAAAGATGTTGGACGCTTACAAATACATCCCTTCCCTCCAGAGTCCGTGATCTAAACTGGCTTAGGGAATGGGAGGCTTTACCAACGGCCGACCGCCTTGCGGCCTGGGGCGTGGCGCCCTCCGCCACATGCCCGCAATGCGGCCGCGTCGAAACGCTGGACCATGTCTTTCATGAATGTATAGTAGCACGCACCTTTTGGCGCATGGTTATCATTACCAGTATGTTTCAAATAAATGTGCAGTGGAAGTCTCGCCACAGGGACAACTTTGTCGAACTTATAATGGCTATCGGAGCCTTCGTCTTATGGAAGCGGAGGGGACTGGCCTGCCTGAGGGGACGCCCTCAAAGAGCCAGGTTTCCTCTGCTACATCGCTTAAGAAACGTAATGCTTATGCATATCAACGAAGAATAAGTTATACTGGGAGAGGAGGCTTTTCTCCGGCGCTGGTCTACGAGATTCATTATTGTGAAAAACAACAGTGTCCATGCATTTCCTCCCCTGTTGAGGAGGTGGGCTCGAGCTCGTACCACTGTGAAATTGCAGTGTGTATTTTGCTTTTCTTCTTCATTAGAAACATGTCTTTTTTGTGCAATACTGTTCTTGAGCACGAGAGCAAACTGTCCTCACAGGTGAATGCAAAAACATCACCCCACATTGTGAATGACCCCCCTTGTTTGTTCCTAGAGCCCTACTGTTTATTTAAGCTTAATCATCTCGATGTTCTTGAATGTCCTGTCTTTGTTGTACAATGTTTGCATTGTACATCACTGCATACGCAAATAAGTTCTTTTCATTGTATATAACAGCTTGCATTGTACATACGCATTGATCATCACTGTCCATTTTTCTGTGTGTATCCGGAAATAAAAGATATACCCGGAAATAAAATTCCCTTAAACTATGCATTCTTCAGAGGCCCACGGGACAGCCTAGTGCTCTCTCATGGTAGAGTACCAAGTACTTTAAATCGTTCACCAGTTTTTCTAAATACGTCCATGTATTCTTTGCGCTCATGGCACCCGACGCAAGATTACCCGAAGTTGTGCGGTAATGAGACAATGATTGACCAACATTAAAAATGAAGAAATATAATGCCAAAATAAATGAACAGGGTAGTATCGGTTATTACTTCTTTTTTTCATAAAACCTTTAAAAGTTCCTACCCATGGATCGAAACGGCTAGGATAACAACAATTACTGAATGCTGGTAGTAACAGCAAAGGTAATAAGGGTTACCATCCCTCACCGTTACTAACTGCGCTTACTACCAGGGTTGTAACATATGTGACAAACCATTACTAGCCCAAAGCTAGATTAGTACTACTACCTTTTTTTTTCTAAGAGTGTACGTATATCAAAGAAGGAAACCACAAAGCGTATCATGTTTCCGTGCTTAATAGCACCAAAACGAGAACGCAGTAGATGTGAAGTGACACTTCAGTGTTACAAGCTAAATATTTTCGCGAACAAGACAAAACACAGTTGCTCTTGCTAAATGCCACATATAAAACAACACCACAGAGTATACCAGGCTTTGGTTTCCTTATATTCAGTTTTGATAGAAAAATGTGTCCCTACAAAAGTAACTGACAATGCAGTTTCTAGCTAAGAATTACTGTATAATTTAGAATGTTCCTGCCCTTAGTGCACAACTACCAAATCCATTTTCGTCGATTGTGTCACCTCTCAGAAAGATCTTGTACTGGCGCCACAACATTAACTCGCTTCATTATTCATTTTTTAAATGACCAGTACATCGCGGTTCCCCATTCAGCCCGAGCGTAACGCTTTTGCATAATGTGTATTTCACTCAGTTTTCCTGGTTTCCCATTGCAGGAGTGTCCGGGACAGTTTACGCCACCTATCAAGCGGAAGCACCGTGGTCAGATGTTCGAGTTTCCTACGGTATCCACGACCAGGCAAGACTCAACACCCGACAGTGGCTCCGAGTGCAAGTTTCTGCAGAGCTTCGACGACGCCGAACAAGCTAGGGAGACTACCGATCCCGTCAGTGACGATGACGACCCTTTTGACGAACCAATGTGCGTCATCAACGTAGAGTCGGCAAGCAGCCAAGAGTTGTCCCTGAGTAGCGACACACTTTCGTCTCAAGGAGCGTCACCGTGTGCCGAGCGCACGACCAAGGGCATCACCGGCTGCCATGCGCCAGCCCTCTCTAAGACGGACTCTCCTCCGGAAGAAATTCAAAATGACCATAAAGCTTTCCCAAGTGGTACTCTGGCTGCGAAAGAGCAATCGCAGGCAAGTAGCCATCTAAACACCACCTCGAAGATAGCATGTTCCGGCCCTAACGACACTCTAGCTTCGAAGGAGGTTAAGGCATCGAAGCGAGCGCCTACGCTCAAGTGCTGCCCGTTCGGGTCACGAAATCAGGACCTGAACGAGAACCTCGAAGAAGATGAACCTCGGAGTGCCACCAAGTTGAAGCCCAGGTGTCCGTTCCGATTGGGCGGAGACGAAGACGACGTCGACCGGCTCCGAAGCCCACTCATGCAGAAAGGCAGCAAGGGCACCCGCAGTGGCCTGTCTTCGCTGGCTCGTTTCTCGTTCAGCGATATCCGGGACCCCGCGTCCACTTGCGGCGTCCCGACCGTGGTCGTCAAGGCCGCCAAGGAGGCTCATGGTTTCTTTCCAGGACTACGCAGTATGCTTCGCCGAGGAGACAAGAAAGCCCGCCATTCGTCGACCAGCAGTGCACCACCGGGTTCGGATACCCTGTCTCCAGAGTCGCTCGTCGAATACGCTACGGACGACTCCGGCGACGCCGCCTCCAAGGGTGCGTGTCCGATGAGGCGAATGTTCTCCCAGGTGCTGACGGTGAACTTTAATGAAGCCGAGGGTGCGGATGCACATCCCCCGGGTAAGCGGACTCAGAGCTGTTACTCCTTTCGACACCTGGAGGACGCCGAACTGAGTGCCGCCGAACAAGGAGAAACCAGACTCCAGTCGCTTCAACTGCCCCAGCTGAACTGGCATTTCCCCAGACTGAAACAACGAATCACGAAAGGGAGCCTCTTTAGCGGCGCCATTTTTCCGTCACCTAGGTAGTTGGGTTCGCCGAACGTCCCGCTACTCCGAGTGCCTGTGTGAGTGTTTGGACGCGTGTACAAAGCTGAACAGAGTGAACGTGATGTGAAAGTGCTTGTCTGGACTCTTGATCTCATTGTTGTCAATAGGTCGCCTGTCTATCTTCCTTTTGTACCGATATAAGTTAGTGAAGAGGCGGGCCAGAGTTGGTCACGGACGCGTTACCGCGTTGCTGACAACGGCTCTCAGGAGGTTTTCATCATTAGCGCAGTAGCATTCGCGCCTTCTGTGTACGAAAGTGATGATGCATTGCTTCTGTTCAGTTGCGTCGGTGAAACGCAGGGTGCAAGTTTTTTGATTGAGTGGGTGTGCTGGAACTGCTGTACTATATATAACGCTGAGCGACTACCTTATGAAAATACGCAATACGAAACTTGAAATTTCGGAGATATATATTTTTTCATCCGCACGCAGCAGGACTACGGAAAAAGGAATCGCACCCGCAAAGTGTTCTGGCGCTTCAGGTGACGAGATCATGTGCTCTTTCTGGAAGGCTTTCTCAATAATACTATACAATTTTAAAAACAGTTTCTTTCAGAAGCAGGACGCATGCTGCCATTCTGAACTGGAAATGACTTAGTACTCCAGGGTATACGATTTGGGTTTACCATAATCCGCAAATGAAGCCTCCTCATTGAGTTGAATAGAACTTTTCTAAACATGCTTTATCGCAGGGTGTACGAACCTGAAGAACCACTGATTGCTTGACAAACTTCACCAGCTACTCCTAAACGCACCAAATTCTGGTATTTCCCTAGCTGCGACAGATGACGGAGATACTTGCCTTGCCTAATCAAAGCCCTGACAAGACAGTCAAGGACAATCTTTTAGAACATAAACTGGTAGGTTTAACTATTCGTTTATTCAGCATTCCTCAGCAAGTTACATTTTATGAATGCTACTAATATTACCTTTATATTTTGCTAACGTGCGAAGTGTATACTCACAGCGGAAGTGATTGGTTGCCAATATATAGTAGAAACCACGCAGCTCTAATTGGCATAGATTACAACGGTTACGCAAGCATATAAATTACCAGTGAAGGGAAGGACGTGCGCACTACAAATTCTTTAGCGTACTTGTCGGCGTTACACTACAACGAAGTTTATAAAACTTGAAGGAAGTCACAATGGTACGCCAACGTCCTGATCAATATTTGCGAAATGTAAGTGTCGGGCCTGCTATATGTTTTCAAGAATTAACAGAAGAAATCGAACGAACTTTAGCGTGTTCTGTTGCGTACGGTAACGAATGTTCGCGTGCTTCAGAAATTCATACTTCCAACGCACCGAAAAAAAAAAGAAACACTCGTTGTGTATGTGAACATATCATCGGATGCGCGCAGGACGCTTGATTACGACAGCCACATATATTCAGGAGCATGTACGGAAAAGAAAGTAAGTAAACGTGAACTACACGCCGAGCGACTCCTGCGAAGATATTGAGGGTGCAGACTTGCTTCGAATACTGTTAATAAAAGTTGGTTATAGTTTACGACGGTCTCGTCTCTGTGTACGAAAAAACAGTCGTCACCTGGTAAGTCTCGTAATAATCGGAACAGCTGTCGGAGATAGCTATGGCTTACTGCATTTAGTTACCGCTACCGCACTGTCTCCGCATGACTTTGCAGAACTAATGAAATGTAATTATGGGATTTCACGTGCCAAAACTGCGATTCGATTATGTGACATGTCGTAATGGGGGCTACAAATAAATTTTGACCACCTGGTTTCACGATGAAATCAATGCTAGAGTTCATCATCATCATCATCATCCTGACTATGCCGATGGCATAACAAAGGCCTATCCGACGTTCCAGCCTATCAGACCGGTCTTGAGCTTTCTGCTGGTACGTTACATCTGCAAGCTTCTTAATCTCATCTGACCACCAAATTTTCTGTCTCAGCCATCCACGCGTTTGCCTTCCATTAGAATTCAGTCAGCGGCCCTTCATGAACAGCGGTTATCACACCTACGTTCCAGGCCCATGTTCATTTTTTCTTATTGATTTCAAGAATAACTGAGTTTATTAGCGTGCCGCTTAATCTATAGGCACACGACTGCTCCAGCATTTCGACCTCATAGAAGTATCACTGGTCGCCTACGATCGCATCCTCGTCTCCTATTTCTGCAACACAAAAGTTTAGTCACTGAGCTACTAAATCATGCGTGCTCAGTTTTATGTCTTGCTCATTCAAAACAGGAAGCAATGTTTATACATTAGCGATTTTAGTACGAGACATGACGTCATCTCCTAATTTATTTGACTACATCTTGAACTAACATTGCGATATCACATCTTCGGTAATGTCCACGTATGTGTATCCGTTTATTTATATGTAATTAACCTCCTGCGTCTCGTTTTCGGACGGTCTGTGGTTCTCCACTCAGTATTAAACTTAGCAAAACGGGAATCCAACAAAAGGTTTGTCAGGCACAGGTACAGCTTCATTAGCCCTGAGTAGCTGCAACGCCGGCTATCACAGCTCGTTTGTTTGTGGCCTGGGTCATACCTCATGAAGCAACGTACTCGCACCGTTCACTGGCACCATTTCTTACTAATCAGCGTGAGTGTTCGTTAGCCACTGCAGACATGAAGAACTGACGGTAAACCAGTAATGAACCATAATAGGGAGGCAGAACGTATCACTTCTATTTGCATATTCATCAATGCCCTGAAAATATGCGCCAAGCTAAAAACGAGGAAGCAATTGTTTCGACAAAAAAAATACCCTGGTAATTAACAACAAAAGTAAGAACGCAATAGCCCTCTCCCCACCAGCCTCCCACATCCTATTCTTTTTACGAGGCTTGCGGTAGCAGTAGCATTGTCTGTTAGGCCGCTTGCTAAACACCCATATACGCTACGGAGGACTCGCAGGCTACCACTGAGGTGTCGTTATTGATCATCAGACCCCTAATAACATTGCTCTCTTGCAAAACCATTGTTCACCACTCAGGGTCATGCATGAATGCCAATACTACGTTATTTTTCTATCACTCGCCAGCAGGGTACACCGTGTGTGTGATTAAAATCAACCGCTTAATGAATGAACACCGCCATCAACGAAAGCCTCTGCTGTCAATATCATTTTCGCTAACTTAGACACCCCTCTCGAAAGTGATCGTGTTGCCATCTAACTAGTCTAGGTATTCTAACATAAAATCTAGCTGGAAGGAAAGGGTAGATTTCTCATAGTTTGCGCCCCGTATATGTATTAGCGTAAACTAAAGCATTCTAAAATACACGCAGTGTATCGGCTCTCGAGCTTCCTCCTTAATCACCGAAGCAAACAGGGCACCTCAATCTTTAATGGTTATGGCAGCGGGCTGCTCAAGCGTAAGGTCACGAATTTGATTCTTGGCCTGTCCCAATGGCCGCATTGCAATAAGTTCGGAGAGCGAGAATGGCTAGCCATTCACAGCACGTCTGGTGCCCACTGAAGATACCAATAGATAAAATTAATTCGCATGCTTCTGCTTTAGTGACACTAAGCCCTAGCGCAAGGGTGTCAAACTAAGTCTCAGAGCGGGTCACAGCCCCTAAACTTAGTCCGTCAAAGGCCCGGACAGGGAAGAAAGCTGAAAACGGGTATTTGAGCAGAATGTGCCCTCACATCGACATTTGAAAGAATGTACGTACCTTCCATATCTCATATATAGGTCGCATCTGCAGGGTTTGGGACATAGTTTTTGTGAAAGATATTCACACCGATCTGCTTGAGGAATAAAATTTTGAAATAAAGCTTTTCTTCTACGGTCATGCTTTAACCAAGTAGCGACCGTCTGAAGTGCCTCGGGAAATAAATGCGTGAGACCAGTCCCATTTCCGTACCTTCACCAAACAAAGCGTTAGTAATCACAATACGCGAAAAAACTAATGTGAGTGATATCTAGCGATGTCTCGAATGTTTATCCCATGGGAAGTCGCAGACCCCCTGTTTGAGACCCCTACCTAGAATGAATCTTGTAATAGACTTATTTCAAAGTGAGGCGATGTATTACATGCCTTATCCCTTCTGCTCTTCGCTACGCTCTCAAACAAGCTTAAATACAGGGGTTTCATCACATTACGGTGTGAAACCTCACCAACTACTGCTCCTCTTTAGATCTTTGTCTCATTATACCTTAAAAAGCAAACTATGCTTTTCTCTGCAACCGAAGCTGGTAAGCGGTTGTGTTAGTATCCTCTTACGATACTTACTTTGAATAACAAAGAGTTTTAATTTTAAAAATTCGCTCAGAGTATCCCTATAGTTCCTCCGAGATATTCATTCGTGCAAGATGCGTAAGATAAATGGGCGTTGAATGTTTTTACGTACATTTTTAAACTATATACCGCTCAGCGAGAAACAACTTATGCAGTGTTCTCGTCAAGGCACCCCGGCCAATATCGAGAGGCTTTCAAAGTAGAGCCAATGGCCCAGATAATGCTACTATGAAAAGAAAGTGAGGACACAATAGATATCAGCAACAACAAGATCAGACTACTGTGGAACCGACCCTTTTCATGCGGCGCTTACGCACAGTAACGCAGAAAAACCGCTTATCGGTCTTGCTTAGCAGGCGCCACCAAACCCGACGCGCCAACCACTGTGGTGTTAAGGCGGTCCGGGCCCTAACAATCTAGGCACCGTGTCCGCGATAAATAACGTTTATACCTTAACCCTATAGCCGTCCCGCCCACCGCCGGGTGTTCATCCCTGGAGAAGATGAGCAGCTCAGCATGCGTGATTGGGCGCGGTTCGCCCGAGCGGCCGCAGGCGCTGCTTTGCACTCGGCGATGTGGCCTGGAGTTAGCACCGCACTTTGTTATCGGCTCGCACGTCGAAGCTATTCATTCTGCCTTCGCGCGCCGCATGGCTTATTGTTCGCCGCTTTGCTGCTCCTCCAAGAGCAAAGCTGACGGGAACCCTGTATTCTAATAGTTAAGCCAAACTCCACGCGTAAATTATACCACCTGGTTGTGAAGATGCTCGTTTAGGTTTAATTAAGCTAACTTGCATGCAGATAGCGGCATGTGAAAGAAAAGTACTAAGGTAAAATTATCATTAAAAAATTACGAACTTTTTTTTTCAGCAATATCGCACCAGAGTGGTTGGTGCTTTTGTGGCAGTGCCACTATGCCTTACCCCTACCTAAATGAAGCATAGGATGCACAACATTATTATTATTAATATTATTATTATTATTATTATTATTATTATTATTATTATTATTATTATTATTATTATTATTATTATTATTATTATTATTATTATTATTATTATTATTATTATTATTATTATTATTATTATTATTATTATTATATTCTAAAGCTCTGCAACTGCCCTGATCATCTGGTGCCTCCCTATCCCGAAAATTACTTACGCCAGCCCCGGGTTTGTTTTTCGCTTCCTGCTAGCATCGAGTCCCAAACGCCGAGCGTGAAATGATGTAGAAACGAAACACCCACTTTCTCGCTGTGTAGTTCGAAAGGTCCAAGGAGAACGAAAGAAACAAAAACCCTCAGAGGCGGAAAATCTTCGTGTTGCTACTCTCAATGTCCGTGTTCATTAGGAGAGCCCGTAAATAAATCCGGCACTGCAGGAAAAGCGTTTTATCTTTTGCTCATTTCCGAGCCATCGTCTAAGAAGCATTCTGTTCCCGATTCTCGCCCACACTGGTCATGGCAGAGGCGTTCTTGCTGCTCCCAGAAGAACTCGCCGCACAGAACAGGGAGTATTGGGTTGACGTTACTTCTCGGATAATTGACTTCCAGCTGTTGACGGCAGCGGTTTGAAAGCTTTTTTTTATTGGCCTAACATCCATCGAAGCGTCATATATATGCTGTTCCTCTAAGGATCACTGAATGCTTCCCACAAAAGCAAAGGTAAATAGGTATTCTTCCATCAATACAAGCAAGTGTTCGGCATCTTCGCACGAACGAGGCGTAGGCCTACTTACGAGTGTAGAAATGGGTCAAGAACCATAGCTTTAGACTTCGAGTTGATTTGGGTGCACGTTAAAGAACCCCAGGTGGTCTAAATTTCTGGAGCCCTCCATTACGGCGTCTCTCATAATCATATGGTGGTTTTGGGACGTTAAACCCCACATATCGATAAATACTTTGAGTTTTATTACCCGTCAAAATCAACGTTAACTAAATTTTACACGCAACGGTTTGTACCACATTGGTCGCCAAGTGACAGCCAAGTAGTCCGCCCGGGTGGAACTGTGGCTACGGGGCTCGGCTGTATGAAGGTGGCGAGTTC